AAGATTTAAGGCATCTTGGGCAAAGCACTCAGATGTGTCTGGAGTGGCAGGTTATCCAATAGTTGATGACTGCGGAACTAGCAGCTCTTCGTCGGATGTTGTTAATAACGTCAAGGCCTCGATGGAGCAGGGAGTGAGACACTGGACGACACTGAGTGCGTGTTCCGATTGGTCGCACTGAGACGTAAAACCTCTGGGGAGAGGCGACGGCGACCCTGTATGCTATCTGTAAAACGCTGGGCATCGACCCCGACTTAGGGTATGTCAACCGTAGTCGATAGCGCACAGCTATACACCCTCGTCAACGGTTTGACGGTGGGAGACGGCGACGTCACCCTCAAGGTAGTCCTCGCGACGGATGCTTTTCTTGAGCTGGACGAGACGTGCTTCGAAGACTTTGGCGGTGCCTTGAAAGCAGGCGATTTAGCGCGGTGGTCATTAAAAAAATGGTTGGCTGAACAAAGTACGGTACACTCGACTTGGTCGATGGGAATTACCAATTACTCATGAGATCGAGTGATATTCCGCTGACAGCGGTAAGTTTATCGAGCGGCATGCTCTGGGAGTGGCTGGTGATACCCCAAAGGTTGTCAAATGCACGAGCAACATCTAATCGTCTTGTGACGCACTTGTTCAGGCCCCACCGGGCGTATGCACAGACATACTTTGACGACATCTTGTTCCGGGGCGCGAAAGGACAGATGAGGAAAACCAAATCGTCTATTTAAGAGCGGTGCTCGAGTGCATGCGCCGAATAAGCTGTAAGGTAATGCCGGAAAGTGCATTTTTGGCACGGAAGAAGTTCCCTTTTTAGAGTACTTCATTGGAAAGCGTGGCCTTCGAGCGGATCCCGCTAAGGTCAAGGCCATTGTGAACTGGCCGGTATCAAGGAACCAAAAGGACTCGCACAAGTGGCTTGGCCTCGCCAACTACTTGCACAAGTATAGCTAAGATTATGCTGAAATGGTATGGCCATTGTCGAATCTCCTTAGGAAGATGCGGAATGGGTGTTGGGACACCTAGCATCGAGAGACTTTTGACAAGGTCAAAAACAGCCTCCTTCATGCGTTAATACTGGCGTTGCCAGACCCTGATCGTTTTATTAGAGTCGTCTGTGACGCTTCAGTGTTTGCCCTCGGATGTGCACTGACGCCAAAAGGTGAGATAGGCTGATTGCGTTCGAATCTCGCCAGCTTCAGGTCGCAAAAAGGAACATCCAGTCAATAACAAGGAATTACTTGCGATGAAGTATGCACATGCCAAGTTCAGGGTGCGCCTTGTTTAACTCAAAGCCGTTTGTTATCTTCACAGATTATGCGTCACTACGCACTTCGACTCAGTCGCCTCACCTCTCGCAGAGGATGGCCAGGTGGCTCTTATACTTTGCAAAATATAAATTTGAGGTGAAGTATAAGCCAGGTAAGCAGAATGCTTTGACTGATGCGTTATCACGTAGACCAGATTGTGAGCTTGCTCATGTTACGACAGTGACGTCGTCCGTGATGGATTTGATCTGCGCCGCTTACGCGGGTGATGGTATGTGCGTAACGCTACGACAGACTCTCGGAAGCAAGGAGTCTGACAACTGACAAGAAGTTGTCGGCGCGTTTGCGCGCACGGTTACACCAGTATTCATTGAATAACGGGTTGCTAGGTTATAGCGCCGACTCGATGGATACGCCACGAGTTGTGGTTCCTCATGATGCGGATTTGAAATGCTGTATCCTCTCTGTGGCCCACGACACCCCACCCAGTGGTCATCTCGATTGTGAGAAGATCTACAGCTCTGTGCGATGCCACCCATGGCAGCCCAAGCTGTACAATGGACGAGCACATATGTGTGCACGTGTCAGACGTGTCAAATGGTGAAACCTTCTCCTAATGCGGCGGCGCTGGTCAGTTTGTCGGTACCCTCCGGGGTTGGCAGTCCGTGAGTATGGACTTTGTGTTTGACCCGCCGAAAGACTCGGCGGGCAACACGGGTGTGGTCTTTGTGGACCGTTTGAGCAAGATGGCTCACCTTGCGGCAGTGCGGGACACCGTCGACAGTGTGGGTACAGCAACGCTGTTTGTGATTCGTGTCTTTCGACAACATGGACTACCGGAGTCAATTGTCTCTGACAGAGACCCACGCTTCACTGGAAAGTTTAGTCGACAAATTTCAGGGCGCTTGACACTAAGTTGACTATGGCAACAGGGAACCATCCGCAGACCGATGGTCCAACTGAGCGCGTGAATCTCCGGGGTCCTGGTTACTTAGACGCCGAATGATCGAGTGATCGCGTCATTCGCTTTAGTAGCGTGAGGGTTTAGGCCCAAACTTGGATAAAACGCATGAAAGCCACCCTGTGGGCAGCCTCCAGTTGCTAATCCTGTGCCATGTTGAGGCGATTGGTAAGAATATCACTTTTCCCGGAAGTCGAGAGGTCGGGGATTGGAAACGGTGTCCGTAAATTTCGTGCTATTCTCACGTCGCGCCTTCGGCACACCTCATCCTACTCGTTGTTTTCATGTTAGGAAAAGAGTATCCGACTCGTAGTCGAATTCCTTCAACTCTTCGACGATAAATTCCGTCGCCCGGGGCGGGTGTGGTGTGTTGCACTCGGTTGCCGAGGTCTTGTGTCGTGCTTCCTGTAAAGCCGCGGACGAACTGGCCGGAGATGTATCCTGTGCAAAAAAGAAGGGCTTTGCCAGCGGGCACCCTCGAAACGAGTAAGGTTGGGTATTTTGCGTGTCATTGACACAGGAATTATTGAGCGGATAATGTTTAAGGTTAACTCAAGAACGTAGCGGTGTATCAGACACATGAGCGTCGTATGAGGCGACCGTTAAATGTGAATTGTGGATATTCAAAATTTTAATGGGAAGAGTGTAACCGGATTACACGTACCCTTGTATAAAAGGGCGGGTCGCAACATCATGCGCGACCTTATATAGGTGTGGATTACACAAATTGGTGTGGTTGCAGTGGTGCAGCTACACCGTGACAAGAAGCCATCACGTAGCAGGAATGCCAGTAGTAATGCAAATTAACTAGGTTTTGCTGTATTAATTAGGTACTACTATATCAATTAGGATATACTAAACTTTCAGATATTGGCAGCTCTACCGCAACTAAAACAATTTGATTCAGTTTCAATTTTGAACGGAAGAGTTCATATAATCTGGCTAAGGTCTCAAATACTCTTGGTGGCAGCGGATTGCGATCCGCTGCATTCGTATTGGTTCTTGTAAAGAACGTATCAAAAAAATGGTGATTTTGGCTTAGCTCCCTTTAAGCAAAGAGCTACGGCAGCCCCGATGCACCAAGCAATTTTCTTTTCTGCTTACTGCCGATAAAATTCCGAGATCTTATGTTGTTTCCAAGACTTGAATATTTGCTGGTCAAGTACAATTTGACGAATACGTCGTTAACAGCCGCGTTTATGTTGCACCAACGCATGAACGAGCTCACGATATGAATGCTGTTAAAAATGATTTGATCGTCCGCTATTCGGTGAGCTCTCAGTCGCTGTCTGCTGGCGTAGGTACGCTCTCGCAATCTTGCACGCCGCATGTGCACTGGCTAATCACAGTTTCCTGTTGTTGCAGTTGTAGCTGATTCTGATCCTAAGACAATGCTTAGGCTTGACAAGTTTTTCATTGCTACATTGTGTTCTTTTAATTACCTTAATCCATCTTTCCTAGCCTTATTCTTGCTAGAGAGAGCATTTGGGTAGCTCCGTTAGATCAAGACAATGATGTATTGATGTCTTGACAGATAAAAGTAACTCATGGGACGGCAAGAAAATTTAAACTCTTCAAGTTACGATCAAGTAGACTGTTTCATTTATAGCAACCGTCTTGTTCGCGCTTGATTCGATTTAAAAAGACTTGCGGTAAACCGCTCTTTGTTCCAAGCATGTTCCCGAGTGTTCAAGTGGCATGACCGCTAAGATATCATTATTCATTTTTCATCACATGCAAACATCAAATCTATAGTTGGTCTTCGTCTCGACAGCAAAAAGGTGGCATGTTCAACACTGGCGTTAGTCTAAATGTAGATCAATGACCACCTTTTTCATAGTCGCTCAAGTTGAAATGACCTTGACGAAACGTCGATTCGGTTTGTAGCTGTCGATGAAGAGTCCCTAAGTGAGAGCTCATATTCTCCGCAGGAAAAGCGACATCTTCAGCTTGACTAAGCGTTTTTCTCAACTCGCTAATACAACGACCGCAAAAGTGTTGAGGTGCTCAGGCGGAGAGTACAGCAACGCGGCAGTAAATGCATTAAGGTAACAAATTGAGTAAGTAATATCTACGGAGTCGCTCAATGTCGTTGCTAATTTGAAACCCAAGTAGAGATGCTGAAGTAATCGGTTTTTAAAAGCCACTCGGTATTTTTTACCCGAGCCAGTGACCCTCGTCACTGGTCTTGAACTGCTTGCGCGCATGCTTGGCTATCCGCAGAACTCGATCATGATTTCTGGGTTACGTTTGTGCGATGGATTTATCGTCTCCTATCATTTTTTCAATGCGCCGTACGCAGCCCAATCTAGTCGTTGAGCCCAAAGCTCTTCATCAGTATCCGCAAGTGACACGCATCTTCAATGTTTGTATCAAGATAAACCATCGAATCTTTTTTTGCCAGTCGTTGTAGCCATATTACGGGGCTCAATTACACATTCGTCGCGTTATGGCTCGTAGCCATAAACTCGCACACCCTTCGCTGTAGGGCTGAACCTCATTGAGATAAAAGCACTGATTCTGCTACAAAGTGTAGCCGGCTAAGCGAGTTCATCAACACCCCCCTTACACGAAGACCAGAGTCGCTTCGTGATAGCGTCAGAAGCACCCAGGGGTTCACCAGACCAAGATCGTGAAATGGTACGAGGCCCATACAGTCATGAACTGCGTTAGTTAATGCAAAGTCACTGCTTGGGCGCAACTTGCTCCAGCTCCTCGCCTCTCAGCGCAAGTGCTGAAGACGGGTTTATCTAAAATGTTCGAGCGTTCCATCTGGTAACCTGTATGCGAATGATCAGTGGTTGACATACTTTTTCTATTGTCGAGCATGTTGAATAATGTTTGCCTGAACTTTGTTGTATAGTGTGGATCGCTTGCCGATACATTGGCTACCGCAATCCATATTCGCAAAACTCTTTGACAGGCCCATGTCTCCCTGTACCTTACCGGTCACATTATCGCTAATAGCAACGAGATAAGCCTTCTTGCTCAGATGGTCTGATGCCGACATCATCGGACGCGCCTTTTCAAAATTGAAACAAAATCCAAATTCTTGGGCTGTCAGCACTGTGTCGGAAGCGGTAGGCTGGTCAAAGGCGTAGTCACATGCGACTAGAATTTGTTTGTCGACATGATTCACACATGCGCAAATATGTGCTTATTTACTAATACAAATTGAGCCACCAGTGCGTAGTGCATACCAAGCGATATGCAGTTGTTGTTGTACGGTGGAACTCTAAAAAAGTGTCGTTCAACGCTGAGTATTTAAGGATATTTACATAAAGCCCAATAATTTCTTTAAAATCATAACGGTAAAGACTGTAATGGATAGGACATAGCGGTGCAGGCGGGCAACCGCGCGCTTCGATGTAGCAGCATCAACAGACTCAAACGGTTAGTTTCACTAGCTTTCGCATGCTGCATCTAATGCATACATTGCACTTGTATCATTTCAACAATTGGCGACCTCCGCCACCACATCAAGCAGACCGCTTTTTTTACTTGAAATGTGTCTTCGATAAGAAGAGAAGTATCTTGCAATAGTGATAACGTCGCTGCGTGCACCGACACATTATAAAACTCGATCACAAATAACTTGGAGCCAAGCTGATGCAACTTCAGCGTGTTGAAGGCATACTCAGTGCAAGTAGCTTCTTGTTTATGACAGCGAGGCTTTTCACACCAGCTTTGAGCTGGTGAAACTTAAATGAGATCACGCGTTCATGCGCATTGACATCATTTTTGAGCTAAGTACAGCTTAGTGCAGGGAGCGAAACGTCACCAACGACGCGGAATGACTTATCTCGATTCAGAATGATCAGAATCGGGGCACTCATGTGGCATACTAATTCACAAATTTAAGGGTCGCCTCTTTGTTCGCGCATCAGCATTAAAGATTGGTGAGCGGCCGTGATAAGTCCGCATAATCTGCACTATGCTCGTGCTACCTGTCAGCCAAGCCACTGCGTCAAGCCCTATCAGGACATTTATATTTGCGAGATCTACCCACAAACCTTGTCTCCTATTGGAGCAACCGTCAAGAAACATACCATCGACACCAAAGACACATTTAATAGTGGCAAATAGCTAATGTACTTTCTTTCCCTAAACCACCTTCAAGCGTCGTACGGAAGGTAGGGTCATTAATGCTGCACTATTCTCTTTGTATAGGTTTTTGCTGTGTGACGCAACAGTTGGTCCCATGAACCAGGTCAACTTCATATCGTCACCACATCGTGAAATCCCTTCATTAAAAATAGAGAGGATTGGTAGGATTCTTGAGGATAACTGTCTTTTTCCTCGATCTCTGTGCTTTGCGATTGTCCTCACACTACAGATGAGAAGCTCACTTTCTTTCTCGGAACCGACCGAACCATTTTGTTTGTTTCGCTGTCTAACAATTTCTTGCACATATTTACGAGGGAAAACTTATCCAGGTCAACAAGAGCTCTTGCGGGGGCTCTCTAAAATAACTTCGTTTTGAATCATTTTGTTCACCAGTTACTGCTCCGCACGATGAAATCCGGCACGGTAGTGCCGATATAGCAGAATCATTTCATCATGACAGGGACCAACAATAATTCTGATCGCACAGCTTAGCCCTTCTACTTGAGGACCGACAGTCACCTGTCAACCTCAACGGCCCGGCCTGGGTGATTGCAAAATTCAGTCGCTTCCATTTGCCATCAGCCTTTACGCAGGAATCAACCGCTCACAATATATTCTTTGCCGTTTTAAGAAAGATACACTCTGTAGACCGCAGTATACCATCGCTCTTTTACGACTCATCGTGAGCCCTTGAGTCACTGTCATTTCTGCCTTCCGAGCTTTACTTGAGGCACCTACAATTCCATTGCCATCTATTTAGAATTCCGCACGGGATTTGTTGCAGCTTCCAACCTGCGTCAATAATCGCTTTAGATTTGTGGTAGAGGTGGGTTAATGGCTCACTGGTGATTCATTAGGATATGAGAAAGTGTCTACCACCTAATGTTCTCGAAGTTTCAGTCGACCCACGGCTAGAGTTTCAGCGACACCATGCCCAGGATAACCCCCCATATCTCCAAATTAGGTCTAGGTTGTGTCAACGTTCCGAACTGTCATTGATCTCAAATTCTATTTGAAACGTAAACAGTACCTTCGACAACATCAGTGTCGTTGATAAATAACATGCGGATGTCGTATCTGTGTTTGATATCTCCAATACCTCCTCTACTGGTACGTCGCGCATCATGCGTACTTCTAAAGCTGTCGCAAAGCCCGATACGTTGATACTATGATTAAAGAACCATGATCTCCGAACTCTCCTTTCTTTTGAAAAGACTTCATATGGCTTAGACCTTCATGAGATGCAAAAAGACTCAGTTATTTCACAGTTTACCGCCCTCTATCCATAAACCTCGATGATTCGTCGTGATAACCTCGTCTTTCGCCCTTGCATAATGGCCCAACCTTTTTAGTCAAAAACGAAAAACACAGACATTTTGAGGTCCGTCGACGAAACATCTGTGAGCTGGTCAGCAGCGTAGAGACCACTCGCTCTTCTTTCTCAACATGACCAAATATCATCGCACCAGACACACCCGTAGAGCTTACAATTTCACCTATCCTGCCTCGCGACACGGTGGTCCAACCTCGCATCCAGTGAAACACCCACCGCTACCTCAAAACTAGCAGCGTGAACAAGAAAGCCTTCGGTAGGAGCCGCATTTGTTCAGAAACCCTTCATCAAATGGTTACTACTGCCGTTTTTGAGAAAACGTAAATCACCACGAGTTCTAATATTCTAAACGAAGCCGCCAGTTTTCTCCTCCCTTGACGAGAAGTCAAGAACTCGAATGCCCTCAGTACGCCCGGTAAGGCAGAGCAAACAGTTGGGACATATATGGAGCCCCCTTTTGTCTAGGTTTTGACGGTAAACGACCATCTACGCACGACACGCTATGGCTCCATATGGAGCAATGCCGAATCCATACCCATCTTGATCCACGGAAAAGAATTTTTCCCATCCCGCTCAACACAGGCCTGGACATTGTATCAGTGCCTCGCGGTGAAACTTATCTGACCCTCCACTGGCTTTGGTTGTGGGCCCCTGTAGTTGTCCCCCCAGAGCATTTTCAAAGTGGGTGAGCTCTTTCAGTTTAGCGATTAAAGCTTCTGGCTATAAGAATGTCAGTTCCTTGATGCCATCAGAATCCACGATGGATAAAAGCTACTTTAAATTTTTCATTGTTCCCAGGATCAAATAGTAGAACATTCCATTGTTCTATCATCATAGAAATTTCAGACTCGGTCGTGGGATCGGCGTAAGTGCTATCAAGTGCGAAGAATTGCTGTACAGTTTGAACAGGCGAAGTTTTACTGTCAGATTTCGTGTTCACCTAAGGGCAGAGGTTGTGTTTATGCACTTATACCATGAGCGAAAGTGTAAGCTTCCAAGGTACTCATCCTTGTATGTTTACTGTGCTGTCATAGTAGTAGATCAATTCTATTTGATATAATGCGTTTTACTATTTCTCAAAAAAATCAAACTGATTTCTTTTCAGTACAATTGTATCAAATGTGTAAGCTTTTAGTACAGAAGATTACTGGATTTGCCTCGTTTCCACATCAAGTTTTCCTATTCCAGCTGATCTACTAACATGAAGCTTCGTTGTGCATGAATGGACCCACGGCAGAGCGTTGTATCCATACGAAACAATGCAACTTGTTCATCTCAATTTCCGGTTATATTTCGATAGAAAATTCTCAAAGTATTCTGATTGCTTCAAATATAAAACCATAAAGCAATATTTTAGACTTCGGGTCTTATTGCGCAGACTTTTTTCAAACAACCCAGGTCGAAAAAATCTATTTTAAAAGAACCCACACCAACCATGGCGACATCGTTGCCACCCTCATCGTCTGCCAGTGCCATTCCTTCTTCATCCTTTGTTTCGACAGCACCAGTCATGACAAATGCAGTTGAATCTTCGCAACATATCGAATTAGACCCTCAGACTGACCATGATGACTCAGAAAGCTCTCGTACCGTCGCAGTTCCACGCTGTAGTACGTGGTTTGCTATGGATAAAATCAATCCGATTGAAAAGCGTATGCTGCCTGAATTTTTTGGTGTCAATGCCGCTAAAACCGCCGAATTGTATTTGAAATACCGCAATTTTATGGTCCATGCATACCGTCAGCAGCCGAGCGTCTACCTCACGGCAACAGCGTGTCGTCGTAATCTAGCGGGTGATGCCTGTGCAATCTTACGAGTACACGAGTTTTTAACCCATTGGGGATTAATCAACTTTCACGTTCCACCTCATGCCATGCCTCCAGCAGTGCACCCAAATTATGCGCTTAAAAGTGTTGAAGAGACTCATATTAAAGAAGAAATGGGACCGGTTGCCATGTTAGTGGCTGCAACAAAAGAGAGTGGTCAACAAGCAAATAAACAACTTTCGTGTGAAGTCTGTGGTACTGTGCGAGAATCAAATTTATCATTTTTTGAGTTGACACCAGAAGTAAAAAAGAGAGTCATGTGCAACGGTGCCACAAGTGGTAATGCAACACCAGTGGCAAGTGGCAATCCAGGGGATAAAGAATTAACACTGGGAGGAATTGCATTGCGACCTGGAAGTGGCATTTGCGAACATTGTTATGTTCGAGGTGCATTTCCAGAAGGATATGATGCTGTTGATTTTATTTTAATGCCATCGTTAGCACGAAATGAATTATCATGGACTCAAGACGAGACAAATGTCATGCTTGAAGCTTTGAGTAATACGCGACAAGAACAAGATGAAAGTTGCGATTGGAATTTTGTGGCATCAAAAGTGGGTACAAAAACGGCGAAAGAGTGTTTAATGCACTTTTTAGAATTGCCCATACTTGATCAAATGGGTATTTCTAATCAGTCTTTTAAACCTTATAAACCAGGTGAAGTGCTAAATGCACCAGTTTTGAATCTTGTTGCACTTGTTGAGCAAGTGGATCCATTTGTGGCGAAAGCAGCGGCACAAGCAGCAATTGGTGCAATCAAACGGCTTCATACCATGCCAATAATCGACACAATCAAGAACGAAAATATCCCAGAAACAACCAATGAGAATGCATCGTTTGAAGCTGCATCGAATGCAGTAGCATTAAGCTCACAGACAGCTGGAATTGCAGTAAAAATTAAATCGGAAGATGTTGATGATGTGATTGTACCTGTCAAGTGCATTGATGATAGTAAAAAGGCACAAATTCCGAAAGAAGTAATTGCAGTAAGTGAAGAAGCAGCAAATGCAACAACTGTTGCGTTGTTGGCCACACGAGCGCAACAAATTGCAGGGAATACGGCAAATGGACCTATTCGAGAATTGGTGAATCAGTTGCTTGAGAATCAATTGCAACAAATTGAGCTGAAAATGGAGCAACTTCATGTATTGGAACAAACCATGATTGCTGAAAAGATGCAAATTGCGGAAGAAAAGTATCAACTCTATGTGGATCGTTTGGCTTTTGCTCAAGAGAAAGTCAAAGGTCGAATGACCTGATTTGACGTGTCATAATGTCATGATTGTTTTTTTTTAATATGATAGCAATAGATGCCGGAATGGCATGTGGTGCTTTACGTGTACATCAATTGTCCAACCTATTATGTAGTGTGTGCAAAATTAAAGGCACATGTACCAATTACGGTTGTAAGTTCTACCCATATTTCATCTTTTGAATACTTTTTATAAAAGTGAACATATTTTTCTTCTCTACTCTGACTTCCTATGGAAATTACATGCATTCCGTATCTTCCCCATATGTGCATGCTGTGAATTTTACGTATATATAAATTATGCTTATTGAGAATTTGTAATGTGTTTAATGCAAATCTGCAGACGACAGTATCGAACTGATTATGTCATTAAATACCAAAGCGCTTGTTCAAACCAACGAAGAAGGTCAAGTCTGTTTCGATATTGCCATCGACTTGACTTGAAAGTTCTTGGTGGCACCATCAACCCATAAAAATATACATCCTGATCAGCAAATACAGATCTGTTTAGACGTCACAAATACGAGGGCAAGGGATAAGATTCGTAAACATTGCAGTGTGCCAATGGCAAATTGATGGAATAACGATAGGAATGATCTATACCT